CCCACCCCGTTCTAACCTTGTGTGGTGAGGGTCAGATGGCCGGATATCAGACTTGCACATGTCATTTCTAAACTTTTACCCGTTCTTGTAATCATTCACAGATTTCGTTTTTGGGTTAACCAAATTCAACTCTAAGTGCATTCAGGAATACCAAACCTGTGTCAGAAGTTTCACTTTTGGAGCTGCATGTTTCCCCGCTTCTTACATGTATAGTTATGTCTTTTTTTCTTACATGTATAGTATGAAGTGTTGCTCAGGCAGGTACTGCATCGTTAGCAGAAGCTGCCAAAGGGCCGACTTAAGGAACAAGTGCTGCTAGGTTGTTTCCAGTAAGTGACCAGTAACAAGTGCAGATAATCATTGGAGCAAGAGTGGTACAAAATATGGCAGCATAAAAGCTATTTGAATAAAGCGCAAAATATTCCAGAGCATCCAGAAGTGCTGAGTTTATAGAACTGAGCAGATGGTCATCAGAAGTGTCCAGCGTTTGTGTTTATGCTGCTTCCGCCTTTATCTGTTTATCATCCCAGATGAAATTAAAACACCGAAGATGTTTTGTCTGTTGTAGTTCAGGCTCTTGACAGCTATGAATGTGACCGTTTTGTCTTTAGACAGAAGAGAGCGCCTTGCTGTTTCATAACTGGGTTTCCTGTTCTTCATAGCACTATCAGACCATAGTATGAGTGTACACATTTGTCACATGACAATAGAAGTTGCATGCCGCATTCTGTTGTTTGAATATCTTTGCATCTCTCTCGCTCTCCGTCTGCAGGTAAGCCATGATTCCCATCACAGAGCTGCGATACTTTGCAGACACGCAGCCAGCATACCGAATCCTGAAGCCATGGTGGGACGTCTTCACAGACTACATCTCCATTGTCATGCTGATGATCGCGGTGTTTGGGGGAACGCTGCAGGTCACCCAGGACAAGATGATCTGCCTGCCTTGCAAGTGGATGATTAACACAAGCTGTGACACTTACCCACATGGGCGCTATGTCCAGAGCAACCTCTCCTCAGTTCTGCCCTTTGAACCGAAGGGGATCCAGTATGACTTGGACAGGCACCAGTACAATTATGTAGATGCTGTGTGTTATGAGGACCAATTGCATTGGTTTGCCAAATACTTCCCTTATCTAGTGCTCCTTCATACGCTTATATTCCTGGCCTGCAGCAACTTCTGGTTCAAGTTTCCCCACACTAGTTCCAAGCTAGAACACTTCGTGTCCATTTTGCACAAATGCTTCGACTCTCCCTGGACGACACGGGCCCTGTCGGAGACCGTGGTGGAGGAGAGTGATTCAAAGCCACCAGGGAAGATGAACGGCTCCATGGACAAGAAGACCTCAAGCATCAGTGAGGATGTGGAGGCCAGTGTGCCGATGCTCCAGAGGATGAAATCTCGCATCGAGCAAGGCATCGTGGACCGCTCGGAAACTGGTGTTCTGGACAAGAAAGAAGGGGAACAAGCAAAGGCACTGTTTGAGAAAGTGAAGAAGTTTCGCCTGCATGTGGAAGAGGGAGACATAGTGTACAGGCTTTATATCCGTCAGACTATTATCAAAGTCATCAAATTTATTCTGATCATCTGCTACACTGGATACTATGTTCGCAAGATTCAGTTTAGGGTGGACTGCAGTGTGGACATCGAGAGCTTCACGGGTTATCGGATGTATCGTTGTGCCCATCCACTTGCCACCCTCTTTAGAATCTTAGCGTGCTTCTACATTACATTAGTGGGAGTCTACGGCCTGATCTGCATGTACACTTTGTGCTGGATGCTGAGCCGTTCTCTAAAGAAATACTCGTTTGAGTCGATCAGGGAAGAGAGCAGCTACAGCGATATTCCCGACGTAAAGAATGACTTTGCCTTCATGCTGCACCTGATTGACCAGTACGACCCCCTCTACTCCAAACGCTTTGCCGTTTTCCTTTCGGAGGTGAGCGAGAACAAGCTCCGGCAGATGAATTTGAACAATGAGTGGACCCTGGACAAATTGCGGCAACGGGTTACGAAGAATTCACAGGACAAGCTGGAGCTACACCTCTTCATGCTAAGCGGCATCCCAGACACAGTGTTTGACCTGCTGGATCTCGAGGTCCTGAAGCTGGAGCTCATCCCCGATGTCACCATCCCCCCCATCATCGCCCAGCTCTCCAGTCTGAGGGAGATGTGGCTCTACCACACGCCAGCAAAAATCGAGGCCCCAGCCCTGGCATTCCTGCGGGAGAACCTCAAGTCACTGCATATCAAGTTCACTGACATTAAAGAAATTCCTTTATGGATCTACAGCTTGAAAAATCTGAGCGAGTTGCATCTCACGGGCAACTTGAGTGCTGAGAACAACAGGTACATTGTTATCGATGGGCTGCGGGAGCTGAAGCGACTCAAGGTGCTGAGGCTGAAGAGCAATCTGACCAAGCTGCCGCAGGTGGTCATGGACGTGGGTGTGCATCTGCAGAAGCTATCTGTAAACAATGAGGGCACCAAGTTGATGGTGCTCAATAGCCTCAAGAAGATGGTGAACCTAACAGACCTGGAGCTCATCCGCTGTGACCTTGAGCGTATTCCACATTCTATCTTCAGTCTGCACAACTTACAGGAGATTGACCTGAAAGACAACAACCTGAAGACTATAGAGGAGATCATCAGCTTCCAGCACCTCCACCGGCTCGTGTGCCTTAAGCTCTGGTATAACCAGATTGCCTACATTCCCATTCAGATCGGCACACTCACCAACCTGGAGAGACTCTACTTGAATCGCAACAAGATTGAGAAGATACCCAGCCAGCTGTTCTTCTGCCGTAAACTACGCTTTCTGGATTTAAGCCACAACAATCTCACCAGTATCCCCGCAGATGTTGGATTCCTTCAGAACCTACAGTACTTTGCTGTGACTGCCAATAGGGTGAGTTCCTCATTTTAATCTCCTGGCCTTTTAGTTAATAATAGGTGTGGCTTCCTGCAGCAGTCAAGGATACTGTATACATAGACTCCGGAAAGAGAACTATTAACAGAATGGCATTTTCAGTGAATTTTTAAAGTCATCGAATCAAACTGTGGTATTTAAATTTTAGAAAGAGAAGGAAATGGTTTCATTTTTTTGCCTATATGTTGTAACAGATCTTTTTCGAAATCACCAGTGAAATTTGTATTGTGCAGTCTGTATAATCTATGTGTAGAGGCCCATTTCTCCAAGTAGAAAATGCTATTCAGTTTGTAGCACACGCACATTTTAGTGGTATGCACACCAATTGTAGAACTGACTATGCGAATTTCAGTAAGACGCTGTTCCATGAGGTCCAAGAAAGGTGCTGACACGTGCTCCATTAACAGTTGTATTAAATGCGTAATTGAATTTTATGGATGTATTCAACGTAGGGCTAGAACCTATCTGCCAGTTAATTTGCCTATCTGCCAGTTAATTTGCCTATCTGCCAGTTAATTTGCCTATCTGCCAGTTAATTTGCCTATCTGCCCCCCTCTCCCCATCCGAGTCGTAAACTCGAGTCCCCATACTCGACTTCTAATGTCATGGGTGTTCCGACACTCTGCAGTCTGTCGGATCTGTAGCTTCCTGTGGAGGAGGGGGCCTGCTGTGTTTGTAGAGCCCCAGCCTGTGTGTGTGGGGTGGGGGCGACTGTCAGCCAGAACCCAGCCCCATCTCACCCAGCAGCTACATACTGCAGCCCCACCTACCCTCAGGAAAACACTTAGTGGTTTGTAGGACGTCTTAAGTGTGGTTGCTCTTTGAATGGCTTCTGTTCAGAAGGCTTTTAAACATACTTAATAGAATATTGCCAAAAAGCTTTTATTTGTTACGATCACTGTGTGCATGTATGTGTGAGTGTTTTGTTTCTAAATACATCAGCATCTAAAGCTCAGGCCCCTATTTTCTTTAATACTAGGGCTGCTACTAATGACTATTTTTCTATAGATTAATTTATCAACGATTTTTATCAATTGGTCAATTAATCGCAGTGATTAATATTCCTCCAGAAAATCAACTTTAACGTTCAATGTAACTATTTTGACACCAACAAAATGTATGCCATTGCAGGGCTTTAGATAATGTTTTTCTGCACTATACAAACATTATTTTCAACCACAATTTGATAAGCAGATTAGCGGCATGCCTAAAAGTATTTATGAGATGCGTATTGTGATGCCCAAAAGTTAGTAATCTGTATATATTTGGCGTATCCTCATGCTTAATAAATTGGATTAGCGGACCGTGCCACATGATACACAAGCGATGAGCACTGAAGTCGCGATGAAAGAAGGGACAGACCAGCAGCCAAAACATCTTTTAAAAGAGGAGACTGTTAAGGTAAAATGATGATGGTGGTGTGGCGGAACTTTTTGCAGATTAAAGTCAGACACCTTTTTTGTAAATATGGTTTTCATTTTTATTTCAGTTCACAAATTTTTTTCTTTTATTTAGTGTCAATTTCAGTTTTCATTTACAATAGTGACACTGGACCCAAGTCCAACGTGCATGAACGCACATCACAGGACCGTCAATCCATGTAGAATTTTAGCCTAAACGTTTTCACAAACACTTATTCAATGAAGATTCCAATGTAGTAGACAGACAACTTTATGGGTTTAATAATGAATGTATTTGGTGGCTACAAGGACAAAAGATATTAAAAAGCTCTCCGTACTATTGGTAATATAATAAACATGAACAGACAACACGGTTGGTTTTGCTTATTCTGGCGTTCCGTCACCCAGAATTGCACCCGTGCGTTTCCTCTTCAGACGCTCATTCGTAGCACTAGTGTGTTATATCATAATGGCAATTTCATTAAAATAAAAAAGTGTCTTTCAAATATTGATGTCGACCTTTTTTCTGCATCGACATCGAGTACGTCGACTAATCTCAGCAGCCCTATTTAATACACATTACTGTATTCAACCATATTCCTAAGGCTATGTGTTGAGACTTGTCATCATCTCTTTTGGCCTGATTTATCCCCTGTCAATACACCCATATAAATCAAATTTATATATACTGCTTTTTGTCCTCCTTTCTTTATTGTAAATATCACGCCTTTTTATTAGTGATGCACGATAATGCATTTTTCAACCGATACCGAAAATCGATAATTTGCTCCTCCTTACAGCTGATAGCTGATAATGTCAAACCGATATTTGTATTAAAAGACCTAATAAAAAAAGGAGTACAGAAAAACAAGAACAAATGTAACTTTACAAAAGCAGAATTTATTTCTACTTTTTCACATTAATGTGGACAGGCATCAAAACCAACATCCAACCTACAACAAATTGTCAATGTGTAATGGTAAGTTTTTAGGGGATTTTTTTTTTTTTAAATACTTCATTGCACAACAAGGCTCTTAAAAGTAAGCCATTTTTTGTAATGTTGAACATAACATTAAAGAATAATGCGAAGTCAGTGTCAACATAATTGGTCTATTCACAGAACAGAATATAACCACAAAATTCATACTAGTGAAAATCCAAATAACACTCAAAGTGCAAGAAAATGCAATGTGGTTCAATTTAAAACCAAAACGAGCACAAAATGCTACTCTTCAACCTCTTTTTTTTTTTTTAACTGAGGGTGAATCAGTGGAAGATTTTTCTTGATAAATAGAAGCTGCTCTGCCTTCTCACAACTTAAGCGGTTTCTTTTTTCATCCACTACATTTGCACGGAAAAGTAGACCCATATTGGTGAAGGAACCGCCATGTTATCTTAAGCATCACACATGCGACATGAGCAGTGGTGGCGCCGCAGTAGGATCTATACAGAATTACAGTAGTAGGAACTGCGCAAATTTGGAGGCTAAATTAAGTTCATAATTATCAGATTTCATTATCGGTTGAATTTTTCGTTATCAAAATTATCGGTGTGATGTCATAATTGTCATTATCGGCCAATAATTATCGGTGACCGATATTATCGCGCATCCCTACTTTTTATGAATTTATGGAGGTGAAATGATCGCACTGAAACTTAGTGGCGGTGGCATTTTATCCCGCCTGTAGTAGTCCTGTAATACTTTGACATCAGTACTCACTGGCTCTACTTTTTTGTTTTGAACAATCTCTGTTAATAAAGTATTGGCCAACTATCGGTATCGGCCGATAAAGCAATAATCGACTATCGGCTGATGGTTAAAAATAAGCCGATATTTACAGCCGATAATTCCTGTAAAATGGTGATCTATATTGCTGTGTTCTCCCCATACTAAGCAGTTAGAAAAATGTCTGCTATGTGGAATTATTTTAATGTTGATGAAAACAGTGCTGGAAATGCATTTTGCAAACATCGCTCTGCTAAAATTTCACATGGAAGATCTATCAATAAACATTTCAATACAAGGAATTTGATTGGTCATCCTAAGGTGATAAAGTTTGAAGAGTTTCTGAAAAAACAAATACATTTCAAGAAGGCTGCAATACTGCCGAATAACGCTAGTCTGTCAGTAACGTGAGCATTTGGTAGCAAAAGAAAATTCATGCCAACAGTGAAGAAAATTATTTATCTCACTTGATTTTCAGCCCTTCTGTTATAAATGTTATAAATGTGTACAGTTATAAAATAGTCATCTGGGACTGTTATATGCCAGAGTTGGTATTTTCTTACCAGAAAATGTAAAAATATGTAAAAAATACTTTCATATTTTTGTAATGACGCTTTTTAATTTATTCGGGTTGAGTGTCCCTTTAAACTTATGTTAAGTAGAACCTCCCAAATAATCAATATCGATATCAGTTTTCAAAAGAATTGGCTTTCATTATCCACCAGAAATTTCCTTATCGATGCATCACTACTTGGAACATTTTGAAATCGTAAAATGAACATTTGAAATCCTAAATGTAGTACTTATTCACACAGAACAAACTTAAATCATTGTGGCAGGGTGCTGTATGTGCATTTCTGCTAATGAATAGGAATGTTTGTTTAAGTTAGTTTATGTACCTCGAACAATAGGAGCATAAAGTTTTTGTTCCATGGGTTATGAAATATTAATTGATTCCTATTTCAAGGCCAGGCAGTGGCATGAGTGTCCTTAGTCTTAACAAAACATCCCCTACAAATCTAAAATGAGGTAAATTTGTTTGCAGAAATAAACAGTCCAGCCTAATTAAGAATTTGGGGGGCGGACAGTATTCTCTGGAATGGGCAGGGCTAGTTTTTTTGGGGGGAAACTGCTACATTTGTTAGTCTTAGCTTCAAGCTTCAGTTCTGTCATTCAGGTGAGTTTAAGAGCTCGTCACAGTCACATGAATAAATGTAACTGACACACTACAGTGATGTCATTTTAACATCTAGTTACTAATTGCTGTCTTCTTTTAATTTGTTACTAATTTAATGTACAAAACACTAAAATAGTTTTCCATTATTTTAAATGGCATTTCCAGTCCAACCCAAAAACCCCAAACAGTTTTCTCAGATATATAAGGCACAGGTAACAATCTGAAATAATCAGAATTTGATGTATTGAGGCATAATTGTACTTGCTAAAGGAGGACGAGAACACTTGATTAGTGGGGGGTGGGGGGTGGGGGGTAGATGATCACGGATTGGGTGCGGCAGACATTCCATGCCACACTGTTTTACACACGTTTGGCTGAAAAAATGGTGTTTGTAAAGTATATTCTTTGGTCAAAAATGTAGGAAATGTTATAGGAAATCGACCCATAAATGAAAATTGTGGTATCTAAAAATACACTAACCGAATTACTGTAAATCAAGGAATTGTTACATTTATGAAATTGCTTTGGGCTGTGAAAAACTGTTTTGGAGGCGAAACGGTTCTGCGATAATATCACACATATAACTGATAGTATAGTAATAAATGATACTAAATAGTGAAATGTTACGTTAGCGAGTTAGGTTGGCGTGTTAAGAGGTGCTTGTTATATTTTCAGTGTGTTGCAAATTCTGGCACTTTAATTACATCAGATTTAATTAATTCTTTGAAAATTAAAGTTCTAAGTCGGCCGGGTATCAGAAAGATGGAAATGTTAAAGGCAGCAAGCTCCGAAGGCGTGGGTGGCATGCTTGGGGATCTCCGTAGCGTGGGAATAGCTTGCCTGTCGATAGGAGAATGAAAACCAGTGAATGGGTATATTTATTTAAACATAACTGAAGGATTAAAGACATCTATACACTGATATTTAGCTGTTAAATATGATCAAATGCTGTGGTTTTGAAGAGCTTATGCTCTTAGAAAAGGGATTTGTATCCTTCACAGAGTGTGCTTTTGAAAATTGAAAAAATGTATGCAGATGGATATTTTAGTTAAAATACCTTGGTGTTTATTCACTGTTGGAGGTGTTGCATCCTTGGAGTATCCTAGCTTTTTGTTCTGGATATGATGTTCTGGGAGTGTTTGTGCTGGAAATGCCTCGTCAGGCATAAGAGCTCCTCCCACCTTTCCCTCTGATAGCCCCTCCCTGTGCTCCCCCCGTCCCGTCCCCCACGTCCGACGTTACGGGTGCCTTGGAGCACCTCAGATTAATAACGTGTCCGTCAGCGGGGGGCCAGTCAGAGCGGGACTGAGACCTGGCTGCAGGGACGGCGTCCCCTCACTAATTTTGGATGCACCCTTTGTGATTTTTGTTCTGGACCCTCTGCACTGTAACCCAGAAGGCATGAAATGTGTATGGCAGTGTTAGTCCGCGATAAAGCAGGTCATGTTAAGACAGTCATGTATGTGAGTGCTTCTTCCATCTGAAAGGTCGGGGCGTAACGGTGCACAAAAATCACAGTTCAGTACGTACCTCGGTTTTGAAGCCACAATTCGGTTCGTCTCCATCATGATGCACATTGACTGTACCTGACATGCGTACCGAACCAAAAGACCCCAACCGAAAATTTTCGGTACGGATACGTGTACCATTACAGACCTACTGAAAGGTCATTCTGGTAAAGGTGTATTTTAAGTGCTGTGGTGGCTTGTTTTATGTGGCACATTCAGTGTGGTCTGGATCTGCAAGGTGATTTTCTAAATGTCTCCTCGCTCTTGTTCCTAGATTGAGAACCTGCCCCCTGAGCTGTTCCAGTGCAGGAAGCTGCGCACGCTGAACCTAGGCGGCAACTGCCTGCAGACGCTGCCGTCGCGTGTCGGCGAGCTGACGGGCCTGATGCAGCTGGAGCTGAGGGGCAACCGGCTGGAGTGCCTGCCTGTGGAGCTGGGGGAGTGCCGCCTGCTCAAGAGGAGCGGCCTGGTGGTAGAGGAAGACCTCTTTAACACCCTGCCGTCGGAGGTCAAAGAGCAGCTCTGGAGGACCGAGAAAGAGCAGGCCTGAGAAAACTGTGATGAGTCCTAGAGGATTCTAGAATAGTACTGTCCCCCCACCCCACAGGAGGACTGTCAAGTTTGTGTGAAAGTTGTTGCAGAAGGAGGGACGGGTGGTGGTCGGCCATTAAACGATTGGCAGCATCGAAAACTAGCCAGTGAAGCTTAGCTTTTACCTTTCCATTTCAAGTATTTCTGTTATCTGTAAGCAAGACCATGTGACTGAGTAACAGATAGGGACTGGGAAGTACGAACAGAAAGCAGACCGAAAGTGAAGGTTTGAAGGGATGGACATCTTGGTCAGAGGGGCGCCCTGCCTGATCCTCTGGGTATGACAGCCTCATCGGGCCACCGCTTATGTATGTTGTTGGACAGTGTTTCTGAGGTGAAGGCCTCTAGGCGGTGTCCAGGATTACCCTGCTCAGGGTACCACTCTCACGTGATCTCATTTGGCAGTTGGCCCACATGGTCTGCGTTACATTCTCGTCCGGCCGGGCAGTCGCATGCAAGAACATTCACATCTCGCTAACATCTACACTAATATCCTCGAAACACCTAAAAATGGAGAGCCTGAAACTTACCAGGGAAGACCAGTTGACAACTAATCTACAAGTATTTCGAATTCAGTCTGGATTTTCAGCACTACTCGTGGGCGATGCCTTGTGGTGATGCATCGACCCTTTGCTGTTGCGATGTTCTCCATTTGTGCTGAGAACATGTCATGGATCTGCATAGTCTGTTGGTGCACTGTTGCTATCACGGATATTTAAAAACTTATAATGAACCAAATACAACTTTTTATCCCAAGGTGTGGTTTGTATTGGGACTTCCTCTGAGAAAGGCCTCAGTGTGCGTGCAATATTTTCTTACATGTTAAAAGAGCTTGAAATCCTTTGTTTTGGTTAAGCATCTTTGCCTTAGGTTTAAAGGGAACTGCTACAGTGGGATTTTTGCAGACCAGCTGATAATTGTTACTAAAACTGGCCTTAACGTACATGTATCGTTTTGTCGGTAACTGAGGTGATATTTTCCATTTGTAAAATAATCATTTAGATGTCTATGTTCTCAGCATTGGACTATGAGTCCATAATTTAATGCAAAAGTAATCTAGCCAATGTAACAAGGTTTTACTCATTAGAAAGAGAGAATAATTAGATTAGAATGAAAATAAATACCCGTATTCAAAGGCAAAATAAGATGTAACTCTTAAATTGGAAAGTACTTCATGCATATGTTTTAAGGCTCTTTTCGGGTTGGTGGGCCCTGCTTTCCTTGGACTGAGGTGGTATTTGTACAAGGCTGAGCCCTCTCTGTACACGCCGAACAAGGCTACACCCACATTGCAACGAAATGTTCCTCCACTGTCCCTTGAATGGGGGGTGATTGTGAGCTGTGTGTGGGGGGGGGCAGGGTGGGTGTGACTGGCCTCTGACACTGCTGCTAATTCAGTTTCTCAGAATAATTCTGTCGAATGAACGAGACTTGGATGGTCTAGGGTGTTGAGTCCATAGGTTTTAAAACCTGAAAGAACCTTTCGGCATTTGTTTCGAAGGTAAAGCAATGATGGTATTTTGCCGACGTTAGTTTTTCCGAATTTACAATGCTGAACACGCAGTTACATTTGCTTCAGATTTGCTTCAGAGAGAATGTTCCCTGAGGTTGTTTTTCTAGAATCAATAATGTCCGTTGCTGGCGTCACATTTCTCTCTAAATCAACAGCTCAGCAAAAATTTCAAGTTTCCAGAAAAGGGAAGTTACCTGTTTTAGGCATTTGCACATTATTTTCATCTTCTTGGGTCTGTGCAATGAACTGCGTGTAGAGACAATCAGTAGGTGCATTTAAGCTTGTTTGCATGTTGCGCCCCCTTGTGTGAGAATGGAGTAATACATTGGAAGCTTCGCGTATGTCCGTCATATCTTGTACATGACTCAAGTATTTTGACCCAATAATGGTTATTTGGGCATTTGTAGATAGATCTCATCATGCCATATTAAAATGTAAAGTTATTCATTTTAACTTTCAGTGATGGCTTGTGGAAATTTGATGAAAAATACCAAGTACAACCTATTAAGATCAGTTAAAATGATGCAGTAAATTTCTGAAATACTCCTTCCCTCTGTATGATCGGAATTCTTGTGTTTTTATTTATTATTCCTTTTAGTCTGTTTTAAAATGTGTGTCATTTACATATTAGATTGGCACCTGAGAGTTCTGTGTATTCAAAGTGTAATCTAAATTAACACTTTGGAATATTTAATACCTTCATGCAAATAGGTGCAAAAATTGCATTATTTTTGTCATGAGTTGTAATATGGCCACGATATATTTAAAGACAAATGCCAGTGTCTGTAAAGGGTAATTGTGTTTCTGAGGGGATGTTTGTATAAACCAGTCTCCGTTTATACAATGAAAGATAGATGAGACTAATCTGACCTATCAGTGTTTGATGTAGTGATGTTCTTCTGGAGGGACTTTTTCAAAGCTGTCCACAAAAAATAAATACATTTTAAAAATCATGCATTTTTGGCATCTGCTGAGCAGCAAATCCTTGTGTCCAAAATAAAGGGGGAGAGGAACTTTGAGTGTCTGGCTTCTAAGCTAAACAGTATTATCCATATTATGGTTAGGTTGTATCGTTGTAGATTTCGTTGCTTATATGATCATTGAAATGTAACTGGGTATATGGAGGTACCCTGTTTTCATGTCAGTGGGCTCAATGACAGTTTGTCTATCGTTAGTTCCAGAGTAAGAGATTGGGATATTCTAATATGCCAGCAGCTACAGCACATTCACAGGTGTAAATAGTCCCTGGAAATATTGTGGGGAAAAATGGCCCTGATTTCCCCCCCCCGGCTCTATCGTACATGTGCCACTGTCCCGTTCCTATTGGTTGGTTCCATTAATATCATACAGTTTGGCATTTCTGTCATAACCCGTCTTTTTTTTTTTTAATAAATTTTTTTTTTTTTAAATGTCAACATTTTCATGTTGTGAAAACAGTATTTTTCCCACGTTGCCAAAAACCTAAGTTTGAATGATTTAAATGGCTTCTTTCGGTGTACATGTGAACAATGTCGGTCGCTATCTTCATTGTAAGTTTTTTTGGGATACATATTTATGTGTAGCTTTTTTTTTTTTAACAATGTTGACTTCAAATTACAATAAACATAAGCGTAGCAACATAATTTGTATTAACGTGTATTTTTCCATCAGAATATGGTTGCTAATTTGTGTTATTGTGGATGATTTACTCGAAAGCCTAAATTGAGGCATGTTTTTCCGCACCTAACAGGTGAAGCATCTATGACCTTGTCTGAAAGGTTGCTGGTTTGCTTCCCGTTGGACCTGTGAGCAGAATCCCAAAAGGTGCTGCAAGCAAAGAATTTCGATGTACCTGTACTCCATGGGCGTAAATTAAGGGGGGATGGTGGCATTATAACCCCCCAATAATCAAAACCAACCAATGCAACCCCCTGGACCCCCTTAAATGGGTGGAGACCTCACCCACCCCAATGCTCAACCCAAACTTGTGCCCTTTGCTATGCTTTTAGGAACAACAAATACAAGTATCGTCATGGTGGCAATTGGAGCTGTTCAGCAGGAACATGGATGGAGTTAACGAGAATAACCTTTGAATTTGGGGTGGAAATTGTGGTTCTTTGACAGTCCCTTCTAGAATTTCTGCACTAGGACTAGCACTACATACTGCTCAGTGATGTTAGGCAAATGAACACTTAGGGTGTCCTTTTGAACAAGCGATTCTCTTCAGTCGTTTAAAAAAAAAAAAAAACTCCATCTGTTTGGACCTATCCCAACACTGAATCAGACAGTGATCTGCAGCAGGCTTTCGTTCCTCCTATGGATAGTTACCAAACCTAACCACTGCCCTATGCCCTATTGTCCCTGCAGTCAGTGTTGCAATCTTGTAGCCCCATTCACATCTCTACATGGCCTTTTTTTAAAATCCATGTTTCCTGTTCTGTGACGGTGAGGAGTTCCGAGATCTGGAGGGACCTTGAAATACAGCCACTGCTCCATTGGATCCATGAGGAGCCGGATGAGATGGTTCCGGCATCTTGTCAGGATGCCTCCTGGTCAAATCCTGGGCCTCTTAGGTGTCGTTGCTCTTTAAAGACCTTGTTTTGCAGCTTCCTCATTAAAGACCCCATCAGTACACTGTGGGAATTGCAATTGCAGAGTTCTAAAATACTTGCTTTTTCATAAAGATAAAATGATCAACTGCTTGTACTCTAGTAGGTGCAGGTTACGTACCTCCTGAAGCTTAAAGTCTAGGGCCTGTTATTGAGTAACGAAAGTTACAGTTTAATCGAATTTGACAAAGTTTTAATCACGTGGGGCCCCAAGTTACAAGAGGATGGTGGCTGGAGTTTAAACCAGAAGTTATCTGGAGTATAATTCCTTATGTCGCTCCTCGTTCTGCACCCCTTTCCTGATTTGCAGCTTGCATGCCACCACACACGTTTACGCTGCATCTCACATCACAAAGCTGTCCATATTTCCAGACAAATAGATGGGTAAAGATTTTGAAAACTCCTAACATGTTGGGTATTTCCTGTTGACGCCAAGAAAAGATTTATTAGTGTAAACAATCTTTACTGATACAGGATGAAACATCCAACCAACATTAAGTGGCACAGAAAGTCAGTCAGTGATCAGGACTTGTATTAGCCTGCTGCTGTATATGGTGTAAAATCTGTAAATGGTTAGGTAAGTATTCTTGGTATGTTATCTCTTTTGACCTCTTGCTGATATTGGTTTTCTTTATAACCAGTCTTCCACAAGCATCACTCCCTATTTCTTCCTCTTCCTTCGCCGTCATCCTCATTTGCCAAAAATTATGAACATTTAAGACACTGTCACCAGAGTTAGTGAAATGGAAGTCGAATGAGAAGATCAGTGTCGTCTCAAACCCCCAGTGCATGTGCTGCTGCAGAGCTTTGAGTTCGATGACTGTGATGCTCCTACCAACACCAAGTAGGGACAGAATCTTATGGAAGTCGGTGAGAGCGTGCAGTCAGCATTGGTGATATCCACATTTGTTGTTATTCTGAAAGCTGCTGTAGTAACAGGTCTGAGTGTACTGTAAATCAGAGATTTCTGTTTAGTAGTAACATGCAAACATTTTTTAATAGTCAGATCGTGGAACTCTCTTAAGCACCACCAATATCAGATACCCACCAAAGGAACAGATCATCTGAATGCTCCTCAGGAGAGGACTGGTAGAAGGGTTTGAGTACTCTTCGCCATAAACTGGCAAGTGCTACTTTATATTGATAAATACAAATATATATATATATACAGTCATTGACAAAAGTCTTGTCACATAAGGACATAGTAACTTAAAAAGACATATAACTTTATTTCTAATCAATCAATTGTTACATTGAATGGATCAATTTAATGCCAAGGGCTTTCATATTAATAACTGGGTACAAAATGAAACAGTCAAAAAGTGTCCTGATGTTAACAGCTTGTTAAAGTCCATAACACCTGTTTTTGCAAGGACAAAAGTCTTGTCATGTCTTTTAATGATTCAAACAATCACAGATTAGAGGTTCACCTGTGACAAATATTGTAATGAACATAATCCCAGGTGTGTATAAAAAGAACCCCAGCAAACCAGACCTTCACTTGAAGTGCAACCTGACTTCTGACAACATGCCAAAGATTCAACCACAGACCAAGTCTGCTGCTGAGGTGGCAGACATCGTTAATGTATCCAAACGTCAAGTGGAGAGGATTAAAAAAAATATATGAAGAAACTGGTGATGTTCATGACAAGCCCAGGTCAGGCAGAACCCATAAGACAACTCTTTGAGAGGACCGTTTGTTGCTTCGAAAGTCCAGGGCCAACCCTTTTTCAACTGCAGCAGAGCTACATCAGAACTGGTCACCAGAAACCACTGTGTCTACAAGAACAGTTTCTCGAATTCTCGCACGCAGTGGTCTCCATGGCCAAATTAGTGCTCAGAAACCAACATTAACAAGAGATTAACAAGAACACAACAAAAAAGCATGTTGAATTTGCCAAGGCCCACAGCTTGCAGCAAAGATGGACAGAGGCAAAGTGGCAGAAGGTTGATTTTTCTGACGAATCATCCATTGAACTACATACCAAATGCCGCAAATACTGCAGGAGACCTGTTGGAACCCGCATGAACTCAAAATTCACCCAGAAAACAGTCAAGTTTGATGGAGGAAAAATCATGGTCTGGGGTTACATCCATGGGGGTGTTCGAAAGATCTGCAGAGTGGATGGCAACATCAACAGCCTGAAGTATCAAGATATTCTTGCTGCCCATTACATTCCAAACCATAAGAGAGGGCAAATTCTGCAGAAGGATGGCGCTCCTTCTCATACTTCAGCCTCCAGATTGAAGTTCCTGAAACTGAAGAGGATCAAGGTGCTCCAGGATTGGCCAGCCCAGTCACCAGACATGAACATTATTGAGCATGTCTGGGGTAAGATGAAGGAGGAGGCTTGGAAGACGAAACCAAAGAATCTAGACGAACCCTGGGAGTCCTGCAAGACTGCTTTCTTTGCCATTCCAAATGACTTCATCAGCAAGTTATTTCAGTCATTGCCAAGACGTATGGATGTGGTCCTCCAAGCTCATGGGAGTCATACACATTATTAATTTTTTTTTCCAAAGCACCATGACTTTATGTTCTGATGTTATTGTAGCATGTTTGTGTATTCTAAATGAAATATATGTATAATTTCTACATTATTTTTGCATATGACAAGACTTTTGTCCAGGCAAAAGTTGACCTTTCTGTCCTAATTACATGACAAAACTCAATGAATGATGCAAAACTTTATTTTGGTATAATAAGCATAATCTAGAGGGCTTTGCCTTTTCTTATTATCCATTTCTGATTCCAACTGATTAACTACAGGTCAAGTTATTATTTGTTGTTCCTACAACTTGGTTAAGCGACAAGACTTTTGTCAGGCACTGTATATATAAATAAAAAAAATATTTACTGATAACTGCACAGCCCATTTGCAACTTATTGCAATAATATTTTTGTATTTTTCTCTTTCAAATTAAAATGAAATACCAATTCTAATTTTGTCACATATCAGACATACGCAGTGAAATGTTATTGGTCGGAGCAGGTTTGGGGCCTGACCTCACCCGCACCATTATGCTCTCGGTGCTCCAGCTGAATTGTAGTGTTCTTCCAGCTTGAATACAGTCCGTGTCCATCATAGCGGCAGTTACAAAGCATGCCATTGTTTCATGTTGCAAAATAAAACGTTCGTTTTCTTGAGGACGTGTGAATGGCCTTTGGGGGGGGGAGGGGTTATGCGGTATTCACGAGAAAACTAATTATGTTTTGTGTTTATCCGATCATCTAAGTATCTTGTAGTACAGCAGTATCCATGATGAACCTTGCTTCATCATAGGAGGATAGCACACCGTCATCGCAGAGAACACCTCTTAAACTTAAATCTCATTTCTCTTAAGGCGATATATTCAATAACAACCTTATGATTAATCTTTAAGATTTCAATATTTAGATATTTACAGAGCAGTGCAATGCTTTTTATAAAGACAGTGTAGTGTAGGCATGCGCGAAAAGGCAGGACGCGCGTTACTAATCGGCCGCGGGACGTCGGGCAGGGATCATGTCCGGAAAGACAAGTGAGAACATGAGCATTTTAACCGACCAACATGTTCAAAAGGTAAGTGCTTTTTGCATTTTACTCGTATGACAATTTATGTCAATTACACCCCTATATCACTTTCTTTTTAAAACACCCATTCTACGCAAAAAAACGTGCTAATACAAAACGTCTTAAACCTTCAGTTCCAGTTACGTAATCCATGTGCATGCAGCCTGTCAAAAATATCATAATCTAAATTACATCCTATTTAATTTGTATCTACATAACCATCTTGCGCTAGAACATTAAATTAATTTATCAGTTCTTCGAACATTGTTTTTGTAATTCTGTAAACTGATCCTTTAAGTAGTCTAAAGAAATCGATCCGGTTAAATTCCATGGCCTGATTTATTCCTTCAATTCTTTATAATCTCTTGCTTGACAGTCCCTTGTCAGTATGTTATTTTCTTCGTGTCCAGTCCTTTGGAAAAGGAAAAATCCTTTTTTGAAAAAGGAAACCTGCAATCACTGCATTTCCGATAATTGCCTTTATGATCGGACATATATTTTACAGTTATTTGTATTTGGATGCTTTCGTTGTGTAGACGCGCTGATTTGGGTGTTGTCCGAATCGGGAAAATGTGTGTACTCACCTGTGGCGGGGGCTGTCCAAATTTTTTAGTGAAACAAATGACACACTACACAATTCTTTCTCTCTCTCTCTCTCTCTCTCTCTCTCTCTCTTTTTTTATACTATGAATAATCGCACTTTTTTTGGTGTCACGAGTGTTACTTCTTTACTTTGTTGTCATCTTAAAGAAACTACTTGATACTTATGGTATGAAGTTAGCAAGGCGTGCCCACGACCTCATGTGTGCGTGTAAAGCAGCTTATGCATTGTTTAAGCTGGTACCAGGCCTCCGGCAGATTGGAGAGTGCTGCGGTGGTTGGTACCGTAGTCTCATACTGCTGCATTACATCCCTGCCCCATATTTGACGATATGGGTTTCTGTCAGACAGTCCACTCTGCTCCCTCCGTCCCACAAGGTGTGGGGGTCGAATAGCTTTGTCAGGATGTATCTTGCAAACTAGCATCTGATCTTGCTAGTTTCCTTGCCTCAGATAAGGATTCCCTGCACTACATGAAATATAATTTACAAGCTATAGTTACTGTCAAATGTTTCAGTCACTAAACCTGTACAGCATTTAGTCTAAAGGAATATGTTGAGTGTAAGACACCTTTATCCATTTTAAATGCATGAAATTGATTTGATAGCAGGTATGTATTGAATAAAATTGCAAACAAACTGAGAGGTTAAAATATGACTGAGCTGAGTCACATAAAGCACTTGGAGGAGCCTCCTGTTTCCTATTCTTTGAGATTGACCACGTTAACATTTTTTAGTGCTTCTCCCCAGTTGAAACAAATATTTTGATGGTGAAAAGGGTTGCAGCCAGTGTGCTTGCAGGGTATGATTAACCTTTTATGTGTCAGTTCATGGATGATGGGTTCCTGGTTCTGGAGGGGTTCCTGGACCCAGATGAGTGTGATGCATTGAGGGAGAGAATGAAGGAAATCGTGGAGAAGATGGATGTCCCCAAACACTGCAGAATACAGTTCTCCACTGACCACGATGAGCAGCTAAAGACACAGGTACCTTGTAATTAATGACAAAGAACCTCAGGTGGATTCCGGGTAATTCAACATTTTTTCTTCCTTTTCCCTGCCTATCTTCTGTGTTTTTTAAAGGTGCAGGTAAATTTATTGTAAAGTTTTACAATATAGGTGGGGAACATTTGTCTATTAAACATTGTTAAGTGTGTATTGTAAACATCATTTTATATGCTAAACTTCATTATGACGTAAAATTCTGTTCAATTCACTCTATAAAAATGATACGAAGGATCCATCTGGTTCTTCTTCGTAGGGAAGTGCGGATTACTTTATCACCAGTGGTGACAAGATTCGCTTCTTCTTTGAAAAGGATGTTTTCGATGATAAAGGTATACCTTATAAATTTGTGCCCTGATTTTAAAGGAGATTAAATTCTTAAATATATTCATTCATTCATTTGTCCTATTATAATATATAATAAGCTGCCATCTTGAACATCTAGGTGAATTTATTGTGCCAAAGGAACTTTCTGTGAATAAAGTTGGACATGGTGAGTGTTTTTAAATCCTACTAAATTAATCCTTCATTTAGACTCATTTCTGTCCAGTTGTCAGTGACATTTGGAATTACCTATGCTGAATAATAAAAATCGTATCCCTGAATGCTGCTTCCTGCCTTCCAGCTCTCCATGCCCATGATGCTTCGTATAAAAGCGTCACACACTCCCCGAGTGTCCAGGTAGTAAAGCTAAAGCAGTACACTTTTATTTATGCAGTGCACACAAAGAAACATCATGATTTTCATTTTAAATTTCAGCGTGATGACATCTCATTGAATACATTTTCTAAATGCTTTACATTTTACATTGTATAAAAATGTAGATTTCTCTATTTTGTTGTCACCTGTGTGTCGTACAGCTGTTTGTAGCACTTTAGGGCTGTTTTGCACTTTTGGATTAGATGCCAAACTGCATTTTGTTCTCTGAGTACTTGTACTTTGCACAGTGACAAATCTGAATCTAATCGAATTCTCCTGGAAAATCAGTCATACTTGTTTGTAACAATCAGTCACATGTCTATCAAATATGTACGAAGTGTTTCAATGTATGAATTTCTTTCCTCCAGAATTTGGTTAAGAAGTTGGGTCTTGAGAATCCTGTGGTTTTGCAGAGCATGTACATATTCAAGGTAGAGTGTACAGCTACTTCTGCATTAACACCTTCTACACAGGAACGGGAGCCAAAAGCATAGTGTGTCTTTAGGCTAAATCTGAGATCACGCAGCATAAAGATGCCCCCAGATTTCTGGTTTCTTCTGGTATCCAATCCTTCTCCATTTTTTAACTTGGCATCGGATTATAGTGTTTTCCCATTAGAGCTTGAGAGAGCTGTCTGATTGGTCTCTTTATGTTTTCAGCAACCTGGGATTGGTGGAGAAGGTAAGGATGCTGCCTGAAGCTGGCTGGCTCTATACTTATAACTAGGGCAGGGTGATATGCCCAAAAAACGATATCACAATATCAATATTTATCATGATATCCTAAAATTCATATGTAGAAAATGGTAAAATAGGACAGGTGGTTTTGAGTTTCTCTGTTTATGACCCAAATTGTTTTAATGATAGCTATGGAGCACGTGACAGATATAATGAGAAATTACGCCAACATACTTAGACCTTGATGGGATTTAACTGTTAATTATGCAAGAAAAGTGATTCAGCTGAACCACAATACTCACGTTATTCAAACTGATGTCGATACGAATGTTCATAAATACCATATAATATTTTGTTGATATCGCCCAGCCCTAATTACAACTCGAAGAGCTTCAGTATTCAGTATTTAACCTTTCCTTAGTGAATATCGGGGGCAGCGTGTGGCTCAGTGGGCTAAGCCTGTGTGCCTGTAATCACAAGGTTGCCGGGTTAAACCCAGCCTCAGCACGTCTGTGGGTCCTTGAGCAAGGCCCTTAACCCCCAGCTCCCTGGGCGCCGCTACAGGTGGCTGCCCTTCGCGGACAACTTACTCTACAAAAGAACAAGCTGAGGGAGGCGTAAAGACAACTTCCCCATGGGGATCAATAAAGTATTGATTATTATTATTTACGTTTTATGTGCTAGTACGATTAGTCAGCCAGAAAAACAGTAACAATGAGAATTTCCTTTCTTGCTGTGCTCTGGTCCATCCTGCAGTGACCCCGCATCAAGACGCCACTTTCCTGTACACAGAGCCTCTGGGGCGGGTGATGGGCGTGTGGATAGCTCTGGAGGATGTCACGCAGCAGAATGGCTGCCTCTGGTTCATTCCTGGCTCACACAAAAGTAAGACTAGCCGCGTGCATGCAGATCCACAGAGCCTCCATGCACTGGGCTGCATTTCACAGCAGTTAAGGCTGGAGACCCCTGTTGACTTGTCAGGAACTAGAATCACCTGGAAAAAGGGAATGATCACTAAACTGTATAACCTTTCCTTTGCTTATTCAGACGTTACCTTGCAGTACAACACTATAATCATGAACTGTAGCTATTTTCCGCATGTTGGAATCCAACTCATATTTTATCTGCCGCCTTCTGTTAATAAAGGACACCATTGTTAAACACCAGAATATTAAAATGCACTAGAACATGCTATAGTAACCATTCTTTGCTAGATTGTACAGCGATGCAAATATCAGAGCCTTGTTATCTCTTAAGGGTTATGCAAACCTGTCAAGGCCATGGTGTCCAGTTACAATGATGCAGTTAATCGGTAAATTTGTATGACGAACCCGGAGGAACATGCAAGGCTGGCTGATACTTTTAAGTCTAATCAATTTCACCCTGTGAATAAATTTTAAACAATAGCACACATGATATCATTTCTGATATTGCAAATAAATCCAAAGACAAGAGAATTACAAGGATAAATTACAGCATAACACTTCATCGTGTGATACTTTGTATGTGACGAGATCATGCTGTTTGTTTTCTTTTTAACGCCCATTCTTCGCTTCCTCCAGATGGGATCACGCGCCGATTTGTCCGCACCCCCCAGGGGTCCGACTCCCTGACGGACTTTGTGGGACAGGAGCAGAAATATGACAGCGAGCTGTTCATTCCCACACCGGTTAGGAAAGGTGGAGACTCTTCATTTTTAACATTCCAGTGCTTTTATTCAAAGTATTTTTACTAATTTTGAGAATTAATGAAAACGGGGAGATGGGCTTAGACATTCCGGGGCATGAACTCTTATAAGCGTCATCGTGGAAATAACAGCCGTCACCGTGTGTGCAGAATCAGGCTGAGCTGCTCTTATGATGTGTTTGGATGGGTGTGATTTACCTGATCTACCTGTAGGGGGAGTGGTTCTGATCCATGGTGAGGTGGTCCACCAGAGTGCCCAGAACACCTCTAACGTCTCCCGTCATGCCTACGCCTTTCACATCATGGAGTCCAAGAATACACGCTGGAGTCCGGACAACTGGTGAGCGCAAGGCATTATGGGGAATAACGAGAAAGTTAGGGGAGCCTGAGCTGGGTATTATGGCACATGTGACTTCAGACTGCAGGAGTTACTCTAATCTGAAATTGAATTTTCCTAAATTTAATGGTATTCTGATAGTCATTAGATACATTGAGTTAGATAAACATCTTGAGTTGTTTTATGCATGGAAAAAACTGCAACCTGAGTTAGTGCTGTTTCTGTTTTGTCCATTTTCTGTAGGTTACAGCCCACCCCAGAGCAACCTTTTCCGTCCCTCTACACCTGACACAACACCAGGCGTTCACATTCACTCATTCCCTATGATGATTGTAGACCTTAGTTTTACACTGTACTCAGAACTAAGATAAAAAAAAAAGTCAGTATTACAGGCCTATTCCAGAAGCATAAAACATAAAAACATGAAGACATACCGATGCTTAACAGTGCCCAGGCAAGCATGCTCATAAAACATGCTAAATGCTCATCATCCAATACTGCAGCATGCATGTGACAAACTCAGCTGACCTGATAAGGACATTTGTCTGGACACTGAATCGATCTTGGGAACAGACGGCAGAAGCACACTGCATACTTCACATCAAAGTCATATCACACAGAAACACACTGCTCATTTCACATCAAAGTTACATTGCACAGAAGCACATTGCACACTTCACATCAACGTCACATTGCACAGAAGCACATTGCACACTTCATATCAAAGTCACATCGCACAGAAGCACACTGCTCACTTCACATCAAAGTCACATCGCACAGAAGCACACTGCTCACTTCACATCAAAGTCACATCGCACAGAAGCAAACTGCACATCAAAGTCACATCGCACAGATTAATTTTATTTTTGCTCCATCCTTTCCCTTTATTTGTATTATTTGTAATTTTCATATCAAAGGAAAAAACATTTAGATACAAATACCAGAAGAGAGGGTTTTACTGCATATGCATGCAAGAGTAGCTGAAAATCCGGAATTAAGCAAACACATTTCGATTGAGGAATGGGAGCCATCATATATGCATATTTGATTTTATCTCGACTGCAACACTGTACCAGATGTCAGGAACCAGCTGAAGACCTCAGTGGCATTTTAGAAAATCATCTACTACTGTGTCCAGCTACCAGATTTTAAAATTGACTGACTGCTTTTCATGATAATATGCTAATTGACAAGACCTTGTGTCCCTAACCATATCACCTCCCCATTCAGAATGCGTCATGCGTCGAGTGAATGCAGCCTGAAATGACAGGACCGTTATAATGCACACAGTTTGAATTGAGATGAGGTAGGTTACCATTAGCTAACTGTTAGCAATATGCTGAAGTGTTGAAGCAAAGGCCAGCATGCGGACAGTCATGCCACCTCTACACAAGCTGTCTGCAGATACACAGCAGCTAAGTTACAATGACCTGCATTAACACCTGTTTCTGCTCTTCTGTCTAATAATAGTAAATGTTGATGTATTGTATTTGTGATTCCAATCAACTGCATGTGGATGGTTGTAGATTAAGGTCATCAACCAAGTTTTGCTGAACAACTGGGAGGTTTTGATCCAAGAAAATCTGAAATCAAATACAAAATATTAGAACAACCATGACAAATCCCTTTAGTAAGCATAAGCAACATATTCCCAAACCCCTATAAGCATAAAAATCTCGAACAAAGAACATCGCCTCTTTGGTAAACATGTGCTATTCGTTACTATTAAAAAGGGACCGTTAAAGTACTGTGGGTCATCTAACAGAAGCTGCTATGCTATATATACATGTTAGATACTGTCATCATCCACTTCAGTCCTGGGACGAGAGTACGAACCTAGATGCTAATTAGCAGACCAAGTATTGTGCTAGTCTTTGCTAAAACAGCCCTGTTTGCATGATTGCTAATGTATATGTATAATAAGTGCAGTAATGTAATGAGAACAACCAAGCAGAGTATTCAGGAGATACATCTGTACAGTGACATAGTAACATTTCTGTTAAAACTATTATGACAAACAACTTTGTAGCCTAGAAATTGGTGTTTTAATATAATAGCTACAATAATATAAAGCAATCAGAAAGACTGGCAGACGATAACATGATGTAGAGCTGAACTCTCCGTACGGATTATGAATGCTGTCATCTGCATTTTGGGGATGCTGACAATCGTAGGTTGAGCAAAGTTCAGAATAATCACATTAATAATTACATTAATTTAAGCTACTACAGTTGTACCGAGTATGAGAGTCTTTGCTGTCGGGGGATTTATATCAAGGTGGGGAAGACTGGTAGGCTGAACTAACCTTTGATATAAGCTAGCACTGTGCGGACTGAGTCTGGTCTACCTGAAAGTGGTGTTGGGCCTCAGCCAGCTGATTAAACAAGCCGAAGTTCAGGTTCCACCAACCCGGCATCAGCAAAAAAACCTGCTGACAGGGTCTCCTTAACCCTGTATGAAGAAAAGTGGAGCTCTTACTGAAGAGCGAGCTAAGCTTCCTGCAAAATAACAGGCAACTTCTTAATGAGCTATGCTTCCAGTACAGGGCAACTTTTTACCTGGGAATGAAAATATTGTTTCACAACATGCAAAAATTAGTTATTTGAGTGAATACAGTTGGCGCTTTTAGGTAGAACACATAAGCACCTTATCTGATACATATGTTGACGGTGAGTTTCTGCTGTTTTAGTTTTAGGTGCCGATATAATCATATCAATGAGTTTTACATAAACTGTACTTTAATCTCGATGCCTAATTTTTTTTGCTATATTAGGCTGCAGTTAGTCTATCTATCAAAAATTTGAATTCTTTAAAATCTGTATTGGCATCAGAGTAATTTTCTTACCAGTCTGGTCCCAGTCCAAATTACACTTCATACCGAAGAGTGAAGCCCGTCCTTAAAGAGGCTGCTGGTATGATGCTTATACTATGTACTTAGCAGACATTTTTACCCGAAGCGACATACAAGCAGGGTCAGCCAGTCCCCGGAGCAACTGGGGTATGCCCCAACAGTGACATCACTCTGCCTAGCCTGGGATATAAGCGGTGACCTTCTGAGCTCAGGCACCATCTCCAAAATGCCCGGCCACATTTGACGACAGGCCATTCATTTGTACAATGTCATTGTCCCATCACTACATTTTTCAAGCATGTCTCTGTCTAACACCACCTAGACTGTACATTTTTTTGAAGGAAGGGTTATGCTCAGGGGCAACAACCCTCCCAAAGGATCAATAAATATACCTTCTTACTGAAAAATGAACCGTGGTCACCAGTACATACTGCCACCTTGTGGTCATCTTAAGCATTTCCCCTCAGAGTGCTTCACTGGTAGCAGTTCCATTCAGCTGACATGTTAGATAAGCCTGGTGCGTGTTCTGTTTCAGGCCTGCTCTTAAATCCACTAAGGGATTAAGCAGCTGTGTTTCAAGGCCATCAACTCCTACACAGAGATCCACACACCACAATGCAAAATTCAGTCTCCCATTTAATAATTCAGTCTCTTGATGCTGCAGCAGTCCCACAGTATTTACCCAGTGAATGCCGTGAGTGGTTAAAAAAAATTTATACCATAAAAAAACTGTACATCCTTCACTGGTTAAGTAAATGGAGCTGTTTTTACTATCAGGGGTAAATAAAATTTTCCTGAAGCCGAAATCAAATTCCACATCATACTTTTCAGTCTTACTTACTTCAGTCATACTTGTTTTAGACAGTCCATTATATAAACTGGACATGCCTAGTTGTGTAGTAATTGGTCATAGTTCACAAATAAATACAATAAACTTTAAAGCTTTCTTTTCTCCAAAACAAATTTGTTCGGTAATGCAGAATAGTGCAGTCACTGTAAAAGAAAAAAAAGTAAAAGAACTCCTTTTTAAAACATCTAACGTTGCAAAATTTTCTGTGCAGCACTAAAAAAAAACCACTTCTTATTGGGATAGACTCTTGAAAAGCATAACTCGATTTCCCTTTTCCAAACTTGGTACATCAGCAAAGCTCTGAAAACAGATCTATCCATCTTCAAGCATGATCAAATTAGATCTTCCGTAATTCTCAGAGTGTTACCATCACCAGGCCACTAGAGGTCTCAGGCCTTGCTCAGATCAAGAGGAGAATGAAGAGGTACAGGGGAAGGAGCAAGTTGTCTATCTGAGCGGTGTAGGCCTCCAGCATAGACACCAGAGTGATGGATCCCAAGACCCATGCATAGCTGGCATTCAGGTTGACGGCCTCGTCGAAGATGAGGAAAATCGCCACGGCGATGATCTGGGCAAAGACAGACGTGGCAGTACCTTCCATGGTCTTCTTTGTCCCGGGCCACCGGATTTCCCCCATGGTGCTGCCAAAAATCGAGGCCACGGTGTCCCCCACACCTACCGCCAGGACTCCGGCATAGGGCACTAGACCCGCAGCCCCAGGCAGGCTCCCTTTCGGGGCGCAAGGTCCCGGGAAGAGCCAGATGGGCAGGGACATGCCCAGGAGCAGGTAGATGTGTGTGAGGATGAGGGGCCCCGAGTCGCGTTCGTCCAGGAAAAGCGTAAGCAGCTGCCGCAGGACCTGCCCCAGCGGACGGATTCGGAAATACCTCACGTACTCCAAGAGCAGGAAGGCGGCGAGGCAGGTCACCGAGGCTACGTGGAGCAGCTGTCGATCGTACATCAATCCCGGCACGTACGTGGCAACCACAATGAGGTGGAAATACTTCCTCACCACCGTCGAGGCCTGGTGCTTTTTGGAGCCAGATGCCCTCTTGTAGTTCTGGTGCAAGACAACCACGGAGGCCAGGGCAGCCAGTAGGACCCAATAGGCCAGCAGGTAGAGGCGTGTCTGGCTGTGCGTGAGGAAGTCCAGCAGCCACATGATCGGATGCCTGCGAATGAGCAGTGAGAGCCAGGGAACGATGATGCCCAGGCCCAGCACGGCCGACATGGTGTAGAAGAACACGGCGGAGACCCAGGTCTCGGACTCCATGAAGCAGAAGAGCAGGGCGAAGATGACGCCCAAGAGTAGCGTTCCCACCAGGACCACGGGGAGGAAATAGTTGACGGGATCGCCCTTCACCTCAGCCAGGTTGAGCGAGCGCTTGATGAGCTGGTTGATGATGAAGCTGATGCCTCCCACCATGATGAGGGCCTCTCCGGGCGTGAAGCAGCGGGGAAGCAAGTACAGCATGATCAGGCTAAGGTAGACGAAGATCAGGAGGACCTCCAGCACCTCGATGACCTCGGACACCGTCAGGGTCTTCTTGGTGGTGTATATGACGCCGCTGCCGGCGATGCCGGCGATGATGCACGTGTTGGTCGGCACGGGCCGTGTGATGCCGAGGGCAATCAGCGAGAGGAAGAGCGAAAGCATCATGCCGGTGACCGTGACCACCATGGAGAAGCGCTCGAAGTACACATTGCCGGAGGCCACGCAGCGCTCCTTCAGGGCCAGTCCCAGCAGGGGAATAACCATGCAAGCCGACAGGATGCCGCTGTTCGCTGATGGCCGGAACTGGAAGACCGCCCCGCCGGACTGCAACAGCCGGTCCCATTTCTGCTGCACGTAGAAAGCCTGGATGGCCAAAGCGATGCAACACCAAGACAGCTGGTTCCAGACCACTAGGTGCACGCAAAAGACGATGGCAAACACTACGAGTGACTCCACAATCACCGGATTTCTGAGCATGATTGCTGGGGGGGGGGGCACTGTATCCAATATGTATTTCAAAAATATGTTTAAGGTCTCCAAAGCTGTCAGGATTGTTCTCTTTCAGAATTTAACATCGTCTACCCAACATATCTATCCACATCACCTATGAAGGAAAACAGAACAAACCAAACAATTATCAACTGCTACTCAGGGAAACAGAACTCACATTTTAGTCTGTTCTAGGGAATCTGTTTTGGGTTTAAATACATTGACACTTCTTTATAATAGTACGTAATTAAAAGTAATCTACTTCCCAATAAGTTAAATTCAGGTTGAAGGTCAATTACACAATTTCTCTTTGCTAAGCTTGCAAAAGATTGGGTGTAGTAATGTTCTTGGCCCTGGAAGTTTGATTTGCAATCGTTAATTCTGTTACAGTAAGTTGGGCAATAAAATATTACCTATGACATGGATAGAAAAATGTTTTTACAATATCCCCTGACTAATACGACCGTTAGCGATAATGAACTTATGGCTTTTTTCAAGATCGGAACTAGCCCCAAAACTAATAAATATGAATAAAATATTAGTAATGTGCAAATTACAGGTTACATTACTGTGAAACATTTACATCTTATTTGTTTTACGACGTAAAACAAAATGTGAAATGTAAAATTCAGAGATAGCTCTTAGAAGTAAACTGACTAGCTGTCACACCTCTTTAAAAAAGACAAGTAAATAATAGTCGTGGAGCATCGATTGCATTCTGGTGCTCATGTGTCAGGTCAATATTAAACATATGAAGACCATGTAGATAACACCGTTAGCATGTAGTCCCCAAGCAAAACACTATTCAGTTATTTAACATTTTATATTTTTAATGTAGCAGGAAATAGCGAAGCGAAACTAATAAATGATTATTTTCAAAATACTTTAGCTATTGTCTCATCACGATTAAGTATGACATCGTTTTAATGAGGAGGCAAAACGCCTACCAGCAGCTGAGATTCCTGTCAAAATGCTAAAGAGTCGTTTCAACAAAAACATCAGGTATTTAGTCAATATTTCATCTGAATGGAAAGACGATTTACATTGAATGAATGAATGAATGAATAGAATAGAATAAAGTTTAATACATGCCATGTAGTGAAAGCAATATATGAACTGGAATACGCTATTAATTTGTACTGACTCACCCATCTGGAAACAACGAAAACCTTCCTTCTCTATCTTCTCGTATATGATGTTGAATCAGTTTTTTTTGTGCAGACGGCCGTCCACTTCACTAACCTACGCGGTGGCCATGACAGTAAAACCACGTGACTGGGAAACCGAATGACACTACAATATCGCTTACATGATTTTTTTCGCCACGTTTGGTGTTGTCACACTATTCAGCCAGTGCAATGACACACAAAACCCGGAAATGCTGTAATTAGTGGCAAACGTTCACTTTTGCCCATCGACGTAAGGCGCGACGCTAGCCACGTGACAGTGGTGCGCGCAATGAAGGGTCACGTGTTGGGGGTGAAGATGGCGGATTCGGAGATGTGTGTCAGGTAATTGAAAGAAAGATATTAAGTCCTTTTATATGATTATTGTTACATAAGACAGTTTGTTTGCGAGCACATATCGTTTAGACTAAGATTTTTAAGTTACTTTCGTTCTGTTGGATACTCCGGAATCTTTAAAGACTTGTACATACCCTCTTGGTTTTTCAGTGGAGGGAACGCGTGTGTAAACTGTTCAACACCAAAACCAATTTGTGGCGCTTTTTTAAGTTTCGTAATTATACATTAAATCAGTTTCTCAAAAATCCCTTCCAAATATGTGTCTGTGTTGTTGTCTTTTACTTGAAAAAGTTCTTTAGCTAGCGAGGTGAAAATGTTATTCCGGTAATAGCGACAACTTGATTCTGGAGTTGACGAAGTGTGCTTTAAACACAAGGAAACCCCCTGAAACACCCATTTTAATATTGTTGTCCTTTAATGCAGTAAACCAAACGCATGTTTGTTTTACGAAGTCAGGTAAATGTATCATTGCACATAATGGGGCCATATAATGTCAGTGATAGCAGAATGAATCAGCACTGAACATGGTTATTTAAGTTCATATTTGTGTTTTTATAGGAGCAGCAGGGAGTTGTGGACCATATTGTTGGGGCGATCAGCTTTGAGGGAGCCGGTCTGTATACTGCTGTCTATTATTTTAACGTGTTGGTCTTTCTCTGGGCATGCCAATGATACACATTTAAGCATTACAGAAAACTGTGAGTTAGAATGTTTTACAGTTTGATTGAAAATAACTTTTGATTTGCAGGCCCAGATTGAAGCTGAACTGGAAAGGAACTGGGAGCGATTGCTTTTCGGATTGTGCTACTACAAATCTCCCAGGTATAGTGTGAAACATTCATTCATCCATCCATCTATCCCCACTTGTTCTGTGTAGGGTTGCAGGGTTCCAGAGCCTATCCTGAAAGCTACGGGCACAAGGCAGGAAATAACCCAGGATGGGGCGCCAACCCATCGTAATAGTATGAAACAAAATAGTTTATATGATGGTCAAAAGTACTGCAGACTAAGTCTAAATTTTAGCATTGCAAAATACAGTGACAGTTGGTGTTTATTCAATTTTTTAAATGTCAAATGTTCCAAGACAAAATGCTCTTAACGAGTTTGTTCTTTTGCAGCTCCTCCTCTGTCGATAAACTGAAAGCAGATAAGGACATTGCTCAGCCCCTGAAGGATTTTGGTCTGAGAATCAGCAAATTGCTGGCAAGTTCCTCTGGAAGATGCAATTGACTTAGAGTCGTCCTTACTTACAGGATAAACTTTGCCTGACCTCATTGGTGCTGCATTTCAGGGTCTGGATGAACTTCAGAGCGTGCAGATTCTTCAGTGTTACCTACAGGAAGATTACAGAGGAACCCGCAATGCCTTGAAGGTAGAAGCATAATATTATGGAATTTGTGTAACTTTGGAAGTCGACTTTCGTATGGCTGAAAATTCTTACCTGCCCTGTTATATAACACTATCTTTCTGTTGGTTTCTTTTACATCACCCCCAGTGGTTTTTCAGCCACAGCTCTTTAGTATTTATGATAGAGGATGCGGATAAGCAGCTGAAACCTAAGATGGGCATCTGTACTTGTATACAGTCCGTAATGCTTTTGTGTGGCGATTCTTGCAGCATGCAGGTGTTTTAAGCTGTCTACACTACACTGCAAAACTCCACACCAAACGCATGCAGGTGTTTTAAGCTGTCTACACTACACTGCAAAACTCCACACCAAATACATGCAGGCTATTCCTTCTATTTTTTTATCTCCTTTGTGGCATCTGTCCGCAGATGTTTAATATATGCAGTGTTCCATGTGAAGTTGTTCTAATGTTCCATCTTATTTTCCCAGTCTCTCCTTCAGGATGAGAGGCAAAGCCAGACCCTCTTATTGAAGGTGAGTATTTCTCAGTTCTAGATACAAACCTTTGACATTTATTAATAAGGTTGCTTTTCATCTCCACTTGCTTGGATTGTTGTAACGCTGTCCTGTATGACCTTCCCAAAAAATCCATAAGACAGTTCCAGCTCATTCATGATGCTGCTGCTAGGATGCTGAGTAGGTCAATGAAGAGCAAAGCCATCGCCCTGCGCGTCGCCCCGGTCCTTCGCCCCGGTCCTTCGCCCCGGTCCTTCGCCCCGGTCCTTCGCCCCGGTCCTTCGCCCCGGTCCTTCGCCCCGGTCCTTCGCCCCAGTCCTTCGCCCCAGTCCTTCACTCCAGTCCTTCACTCCAGTCCTTCACTCCAGTCCTTCACTCTTTACACTGGCTTCCAGTTGCCTTTAGAATCCACTTCAGGGTGCTGCTACTTATTTGCAAATCACTCAGTGATCTCGGCCTAGTTTACATCACAGAGAAGTGAAAAGTCAGCAAGACCAAACGGAATTCAGCTGCTCTGCAACTCAGAACTGGCACTGGCTCCTTGAGGCGGTTAAAAATAATCAGATGTTGGCACCTTTAAAACCAGGCTCAAAACATTTTTATTCCACAGTGCCTTAGATTAGCACTGATAATCAGTGGTGATACTTCTTCTTTTACTTTTTATTTTACTGTCTTTTGTTTGTAATTCCTAATTACTGTCATTTTGTCTTGTTTTTTAATTTTTCATTTGACGATTGCTTTTGTTTGATCTTGTTTCTTGTAAAGCCCTTTGAATGACCACAGTGTTTGAAAGCATGTCATAGCCTTGCTTTTTTAAAAAAAGTTTAACATCATTTACTGTAAAGTATAACTGAAAAATGTAACTGAAATGAACAGACAGAATGGCTACACATCTTTAATTCATTGCCTAGCTTGGCTTATTTTTGCTTTAGAACAACTGGAGTTAATGAGAGTTTGGGTTATTCTTTTTGTATGTATTATGCATATTTTAAGGTATAGGCCTTTAGGTTGACACATCCCTGTTTTTAACGTCATTCCACTGCTTGTGACCCATAGATTGCCGATTATTATTACGAGGAGCGAATCTGCCTGCTGCGCTGTGTGCTCCTGCTGCTGACGTACTTCCAGGACGAAAGGCACCCATACAGGGTCAGGAGCGAGCCGTCTGCTGTCTGAGCATTCATGAAGGAGGAGATGCTGCAGTCCTGTCCTGATTACCTTTTTTGTGGATGCCGCACTTGGGTGTCTTTTTTTCAGGCGGAGTATGCAAACTGCGTGAGCAAGCTGGAGAAGGACCTGGTCTCGAAGTACCAGGAGCAGTTTGAGAGCCTCTTCAAAGCGGAGGCGCCGACATGGGAGTCTCACGGGAACCTCATGGTTCGTTCCCCCCCCCCCTCGCGCCTTCCTGCCAGCTGAGCTGCTGCTGGGTCATTTTCCTTGTTTGTGTCCTTTTTGCACATTTTCCACTGAAATGTCGTTTGTTTAACGTTCATGCTCTTCCACAACGTCTTGGTCTTTCTCTGGAAGTTGTGCAAAAGCAGACACACATTGGAAAGTCACTTAGCTGGACACACTGCTGACAGAAAGGACGTTTTAAATTCTGGTTTAGTTTGCTTACTTCAGTTCAATTCAGTTTTATTTGTATAGCACATTTTGACAACATTACACTAGTAGCGCTTTACCCTTCTGGATGGAAATATTTGGGGAAAACAAAGCGACCGAAATTCATAGACAAAGCAAACGAGAAGTGTTTGTTGGTGAAAATCCGTAACCTTGTACAAATAATGTCTGGGCAGACATTCCGTGCTCAAAGAGCTCATTCTGTTGTTGCTGTTGGTGTTAATCTTGGTCTTCTTTTTGGGTGCAGACCGAGAGACAGGTGTCCCGCTGGTTCCAGCAGTGTCTCCGCGAGCAGTCCCTTCTCCTGGAAATCCTCTTTCTGTACTATGCCTACTTTGAGATGCCGCCCCCTGACCTGTTGGTCTTTACCCGGATGTTTAAGGAGCAGGGCTTTGGCTACCGACAGACAAACAGGCACCTGGTGGATAAGAGCATGGACGCGCTAGTTGACCGCATAGGGTAAGCTGCCTCCTCCCCCCGTAAATGGTTCACTTTACCTTGGGTTCATTGTATCGTACCTTCAATGTCTTCTCTGCAATCCACCCTCAGTTATTTCAGTTCTCTCATCCTGGTGGAAGGAATGGACATCGATTTCCTGCACAAGTGTGCCCTTGAAGATCGCACTGAGAGGCATCAGTTCTCTGGCACCCCGGACATCTGCAAAGTGAGACCGAACGGCTGCTCCATCCTGCTCTTTATTTTTAGCCGTGTGATTCTGCTGATCCAGCGTTGTCTCTGAAGGCCGGGTCGCACAAGGCTGCCTTGCACACTCGCTGTTCTTATTTGCTGTTCTTTCACGTTTAAGCACGCATCCCCAGCTGCATCCTGAGAGTGCATACCTTTTATTTAATTCTCAGGACTTGGACCAGATCTTTCTGACCTTTGGGGACATCCCACACCACGGCCCGGTTCTGCTGGCATGGGTTCTGTTGCGTCACACGCTGAACCCCGACGATTCTACTCCAGTAATCCGGAGGATAGGGAACACCTCACTGCAGCTGGCTGTGTTCCAGTACCTCACCACCATGCTGCAGGCACTGGGCAGCACTGGCAACAATGTGAGCTGGCAAGCTCTTCGTGCTTTCTGGCCCAGAGCTTCCAGTACTAATATCCAGTACATTGCTCTGTTGGGCCTCCTGCTTCGATTTGTTGTACTGAAGTTAGACTTTTGCTTGTGAGAAGATGGTACTTTAGATCTGCTTTGGTAAATTCCTGGTTTTGTGGTAATTTTGCTTATTAACTCCAAATCTGATGGAGTGGGTGGGATGAAAGCCAGCAGACAAATGGATTACACCTGTGATGTAAATGAAGACATTTGCTGTAATGGGCCTGTTCCCGGTCCTGGTTATTTATGCGTCTGTGAACCGTGCACATGCACCCTGCTGGCCTCCGTTCAGCCCCGTCTCCCCCTCCTTTCAGTGCACCGCCAGCACAGCCCGCATGTGCATTTATGGCCTCCTCTCCTTCGCCATAACCTCCTTTGAGGAGGAGACCCTCGGCAGTCAGCAGGTTGGACCCGACCCGAAGGCAGGCCGCATGTCTTCCATTCTCTGTATAATGAAATCCTTGCTCCTTGTGCTCGGGGTTGAGACCAGTATTTCCTGTTTCCCCAGCACTTGATAAGCTTGGCCTGTGAGGTGCTCGCGGCTCCCAGCTTGGCGGAGCTCTTCTGGGAGACGGTGAGTCCCGGCAGGATCGGGAATTTCCCAGCAGCGCCTTGCATGTTTCTTACAGCCCGTTGAAGTTGGAATGTGCGTTTTACATTAAAGTCATTTGCGGTTTTTATGGAGTGGTCACCATAAATCACGGATCACAGTACTTCTCTTTGCACGCGGAAAGAAGCCGGAGATGGGGCTGGGAATGATCCTGGACGCCGCCATGGGGATGTTTCCCCACAAGATCGGGCCGCTTCTCCAGCTGCTGGCCGCTCTCCTGTCTGACAAATCCACAGCCAAGAAGGTACGATGGGCTGGTCGAAATCGCCTCCCCTAGAGGGACCGGCTGAGTGCGGCTCTGGTTAACACAGACCATCTGTTAATCATTTCAGCTCCTTTTTTGAGTCTCCTTGATTTATAACCTCTAGGTGTACAGCTTCCTGGACAAGATGTCTTTCTACACGGAGGTCTACAAGCACAAGCCCAACGATATTTTGTCCCGGGAAGATGAGACGCTGTGGAGGAGACAGGTGCCAAAACTCCTTTATCCTCTCGGTAAGGAGCTGCGTCGCCTCCATTGCAGACTCCCGAATGGCCAGCCAGCAGAGGGCGCTCCGTGACACTCCTGTCTCCATGCTGTTTGTCCCCTCAGGCCTTGGCCAGACCAACCTGCGCATGCCTCAGGGCTGCCTGGGCCAGGTGGTGCCCGCCGACCAGGGCTACGTGGTGCACTGGCATTACTCCTACAGCTCCTGGACGCTGTTCACCTGCGAGATCGAGATGCTGCTGCATGTGGTGTCCACAGCAGGTGAGCTGAGTCTGCCTGGGGGGGGCGGCGGGGGGGGGCGGGTTGGCGAAACATCACATCACAAGTTCAGATGCATGTATGAGCCATGGAACTGCAGCAGATTAAATGTGCACTGTAGTTCGATACTAACCGTCTCGGTGAAGGCGTATCATGGGGACGTTTGAATCGTGGACAATCTGATATCGTGAAATGACACACCCATAACTCTGCCTGTCCCCTGCGCTCTTGGCTGACAGACGTCATCCTGCACTGCGAGCGGGTCAGGCCCATCCTGGAGCTGGTGCACAAGATCATCAGTACAGACTGGACCGTGTCCGACTGCCTGCTGCCAATCACCTCGCGCATATACATGCTGCTGCAGAGGTCAGTGACTCGGTAACCTGCTGAAGACTAAGACCTGCTGAAGACTAAGACCTGCTGAAGACTAAGGCAGGGTCCGCTGAGGTTCTGTAGCAGTTACAGAAAAACTGAGCCGCTGAACTTCATTTGCTTTCGTTGAATGTGTATGACATGGTTACTTTCGTGTTATTTCATTTCAGTGTTATTTAACCTGAAATTAATTTTGAAAATGGTTTCAACCGTTGATTTTGTCTAAAAATAACCATAAATCTGTCTCGTCGCTGTGTGTCTTGGTCAGACTGACATCGGTGATCAATCCTCCCGTGGATGTGATCGCGTCCTGCGTGAACTGTCTGATTGTTCTGGCCACACGGATGCCAGGGAAGGTATGTGGAGCTTGTCGGTCTGTGTGTGGGATCCGTGGGGGGGCCTCTTTGAAAAAGCCTGTCTGATGATGCCTGCGTTCCCTTCCCCACGCGTAGGTGTGGTCCAGCCTTCACCACACCGGCTTCTTGCCCTTCGCCTCCACGCCTCCCACCAACATGGCACAGTCAATCAGGTGCGTCTCCCCCCGCCATGAACCACTGGCGCTCCGGGTTTTCCGCTGTGGGGGGAGGAGTGTCTTGTGGTGGCCTCCATGACGACAGGGATGCAAAGAAATGTCTTTATAGTGCCTTGAGGGCTTTTGAACCCCTTCTTTTCCCACTCCCTCTCCCGTCTAGTGCCGAGGGCATGAGGGCAGGTAACTATGGCAACCTCCTGGTCATCATCGAGCAGCCTCGGGGAGAGTATCCAGTAACTATCGCCTTCCTGCGCCTGGTCACCACCCTGGTTAAGGTAACTGAGCCCGTCAGTCTGTAAATCATGTGATGTTCAGGTGTAGCCTGGCCGTGTCTTCAGACAGCCTCGTCAGCAGACCCTTTGGACGCCGGCCCTTTAATGTCATCTTTATCCCCCCAGGGTCAGTTGGGAAGCACCCAGAATAAGGGGCTGATCCCCTGCGTGCTGCTGGTGCTGAAGGAGATGCTTCCCACATACCACAAGTGGCGCTTTAATGCCTATGGCGTGAGGGAGAGGATCGGTGCGTACCGGCTGGGCTCAGCAGCTATCAGACTGCCCCGTTACTGTTGCACACTAATGCATTTTCTGTCTGTGGATCTTCTGAGAAAATTGTTGGTTCGTCCCAGTGTGGACAGTGTGCCCCCAGTGGATAAAGCCGCTAACTGCGTCACCTCCTCTTTGTTTTGAAGGTTGTCTTATCCTGGAGCTGATCCATGCGATCCTTAACCTCAGTCCGGAGGGGGAGTCTCAGGACAGGTAACGCGCTCGTCCCCGACTTTGCCATTCGTGGTGGTATCACGTGTTAATGTTTCCCCCTGACCCCACAGCTCCCCCAGTCTTCAGTCGCTGTGCATCTACAGCCTGACCAACACGGACGCGGGGCGGGCGGTCGTGAACATCATGGGTATTGGGGTGGACACCATCGACGTGGTGCTGGCGGCCCAGCCCAGCAGGTGAGGCCCGTGAAGCCAAGTGCACCAGCCGGCGCCGCCTCTGCATAAAGTGTGCGTCGGGTTAACGCCCCCCCCCCCCCCCCCCCCCCCCCCCCCCCCCCCCCCCCCCCC